CATCCTGGGCTGGATCAGGAACAGTGTGGTCAGCAGGACCAGGGAGGTGATTCTGTCCCTGGACTCGGTGCTGGTGAGGACACACCTGATTCCTGTGCTCAGTTCTGGGCCCCTCAGCTCATGAGAGACATTGAGGTGCTGGAGCAGGTCCAGAGAAGAGCAACGAGGCTGGTGAAGGGATTGGAGCACAAGTGCCATGAGGAGAGGCTGAGGGAGCTGGAGTTGTTCAGCCAGGAGAAGAGGAGGCTCAGGGGAGACCTTATCCCCCTCTACAACTCCCTGACAGGAGGTTGGAGTCAGGTGGGGGTTGGTCTCTTCTCCCAGGCAACCAGCAGCAGGACAAGAGGGCACAGACTCAAGCTCTGCCAGGGGAGGGTTAGGCTGGATCTTAGGAGGAGCTTTTTTCCAGAGAGAGTGATCAGATATTGGAATGTGCTGCCCAGGGAGGTGGTGGATTCACCATCCCTGGAGGTTTTCAAGCTGAGACTGGATGTGGCACTTAGTGCCATGGTCTAGTAACCACAGTAGGGTTGGACTTGGTGATCTTTGAGGTCTCTTCTAACCAGATAGATTCTATGACTGCCAGGCTGCTTTTTCAGGATATAGCTGAACTGCTGGGGACTATTCCTGTGTTTCTAACAGAACACACCTGGCTGCAGTGTCCATGACCCTCCACTCAGGATCATTAGACCTTGGATCAAAGCTAACTTTCTTCTGTGGTTAACCTGGAAAAAAACCCTTTCTTTCTCCTACAGAGATCTTTCAACCACTACATCCCTTTTCTTTGTATCCTTCTGTATTTTTGTTTTCATCAACCCATTTCATTGGACAAACACTCCACCCAAACAGCCAAAGAGAGGCAGCTAAAGCTGTTAGGAACGTGCTGAAGTGCTTCGCTGGGTGGCAGCCATCACAGACCTGGTGTGTGCTCCTCACAGGGCATTTCTCAGCATCCACTGTGGTACAAACAGCTTTTGTGAAAAGGTTCAGAGCTCCTCACCATCAGGAATGGACCCTCAGTAGTAACTACCCACCAAAAGTGCATCCTAAGGAACTGCATCATGTAATATCCCAGGAAAGGAATGACAGAGCAGCTTCCCACTCACCATTGACTGTGAGCCGAGCCTTGTTGGAGTAGGTGGAGCCAAAGTGGTTGGTGATGATGCACTGGTAACGGCCCTCGTGGGCGAAGGTGACGTGCCGGAGGTGCAGGATGGTGGTGCACTCCATCACCTCACCGTCCTTCGCACGCACGTGGGCAAAGTTCTCTATCTCAGCATTGTGCAGCATCTCGTTGTCTTTCTTCCAGGCAAACATCATGGGGGAGCTGCTGCTGCTGGCAGCCAAGCAGGTGAAACGGATGTCCTTCCCCAGGACAGCCACGGTTGTCTCGGGCTGGATGATGATCTGTGGCTTGGGGAAATCATCTGGGAGGAAACAGCAGGAGTAGTTAGTGCTGGACTGTGAGGGAAGAGTGGAGCAAGCCAAGAGATGCAATGAGAAATGAGCAGTACACAACTGAAAGACATTACTGCACGTCTGTTTTTACACCCACTGTTGTCCACAGCAGGAAAGTGACCTTGCCAAGCACTGCAGAATCGAGTCTGGCTCTGTAGTGCACATGTGCCATGCACAGCTCCACTGAGAGGCTGCTCTAGGTGGGACTATTGCTCCCCTGCTTCCATCAGCAATCAGTGGGCTGATTGCAGACCACAGACACCTACAAGATGCTCCTTCACCAGTGTGACTGAACCTGAGAAAGCTACTATGATCTAAAGAAAACATCCTTTCTTGTACAGCTCATGCATGAAGAGCATAACTGAACTGAAAACATCACCTCCAGGTCTGCATTAGTGTGAAGCAGGAGGGGAGAGCAGGAGGGCACTTAAAGGGCTGCAAGTGCCACCTCCAGGGAAAATGCTCACAAGAAGTTGTAATGCAGTGGGAATTGGTTTTGTCTCCCAGGGAGCAAGTGACAGGGCAAGAGGAAATGGCCTCAAGTTGTGCCAGGGGAGATTTAGATTGGATAGCAGGAAAAATTTCTTGACTGAAAGGGCTGTCAAGCACTGGCACAGGCTGCCCAGGAAAGTGATGGAGTCACCAGCCCTGGAGGTATCTAAAAGACATGTAGATGTGGCACTTAGGGACATAGTTTAGCAGTGGACTTGGCAGGAGTAGGTTAATGGTTGGATTCCATGATCCTGAAGGTCTTTTCCAACCTAGGGATTCCATGACTCTCCACAGCCTGTGCTGTCAGCAGTGGACTGGAGTAGGTTAATGGTTGGATTCCATGATCCTGAAGGTCTTTTCCAACCTAGGGATTCCATGACTCTCCACAGCCTGTGCTGTCACAGCAGGAGCAGCTGTATTTGCCTGTCACCCATACAGGGTGGAAAGCTTTGCACAGTCTCTCTCTGCCCTGAAGACTGTTGGTTTTAGCAAGGTTCCAAGCAGATTCATTTATTAGGAGTAGGTTAATGGTTGGATTCCATGATCCTGAAGGTCTTTTCCAACCTAGGGATTCCATGACTCTCCACAGCCTGTGCTGTCACAGCAGGAGCAGCTGTATTTGCCTGTCACCCATACAGGGTGGAAAGCTTTGCACAGTCTCTCTCTGCCCTGAAGACTGTTGGTTTTAGCAAGGTTCCAAGCAGATTCATTTATTAGATTTCTACAAATGGTGTAATTTAATATTTGACTAAGGTTTAATTAAACAGCCAGGCCTCTGGAACCAGGAGTACTAGTGCCTGGAGGACTTGGCAGGCATCAGGAAGCAAAGCTGTCTTTGCTTTGTGATGTTGCTGTGGGGATGGAGCCTTCAAGATCTCTTCTTCCAGATGAACACAGAAAGCCTCTCAGACTGCTCAGGCACAGGCCACCTAGGCAGAGCCCTAAGAGGGACATGGGACCACAGCTGGGACAAAGCTTCTGCTCCATGTTCAATGCAAGCCCTGCATTCAATTCAGTTAAACAGTGTTTGCAGCTCATTCTTCCTTCAAACAGCCACGTGCAGCTCCACCCAGGATCCACACTGGTTGGCTCCAAAGCACAGTTTGGCTCCTAAACCAGGTCTTTTTTTTCCCCAAAAGCTGGATGCATGAGCAGCATTGATTTGGCCTCCTCTGATCGTTTAAATTTCTTTACGACAAAGGTAAGAATGTGTGTGTGTGTGCTGGGTATTAAGCAGAGTTGCTTTGCAACCACAGCTCAGGTGTCAAATGCAGCATTTGGATGGGCCTTACTGGCCCAAAATAGCAGCTATGATGGAGAGATTCTCCTCTGCTTTTTAACTCTTTGTTATTTCCAAGAAGGAGAAAAGATGTGTGAAGAACACAAAGTCACAAAACCAGCTCAGGACACTGCAGAGGGGAAAAAAAGAATAGCTGCAGTCCTGGTAATATCAAACTGAGAGGACTGGGGAAGTCTCAGCCCCATCTGGAAGTGGAACAGGCATTAGTCCCTTTTGATTTAATACTCAGGGAGCCCTGTAAGGAACACACTAGATGCAGGCAATGTGCTGTGTGGTTTTGTGGGAAATAAATTGTAGCCAATGACAAATTTTTAAAATGCAGGCTTGGGCTTCCTTTGATCCCACTGAATAACAAAACAAAACAGAAACGCTCTCGTAATAACATGCTGGTAGTCAAAGAAAATGTTTCCCAAGTGAGTTCTAGCCTTCATATAACCTCAAAACACACAGGCAAGACTTACCACACACAAAATTTTCTGGCGGAATGGCAAAAATGCTCTTGCTTTTCAGGGACTCAGGATGGGCACAGGTGGCCACCACAGAGGACTGCAGCTCCTTCTCCACTAACCACTGGGGCAACCACTTCAGCTGGCAGTCGCAGAGGAAGCTGTCACTGTTTATGTGGCTGCAGGGAAACAAAACCAACACGAGCCTGCTGTGAGTCCTGCATGGAGAGGAGACTGGAAGGCTCTCAGCCCTTTCATGTTAGACCCATTCCTCCCACCAAGCATGGGTGGAAGGAATAAAATGACTGCAGGGATGTCCTCAAGACACTAAAGATGTTAAACACATGACACATTTAATAGCATTTCATCTTCACTCCTGTATGCCAGTGACACTCTCTAGCACCCTGTATTTATTAGCCAACTGCCAGGCTGATGCCCAGGAACAGAGAAGCAATGTCACTGCTGGCTTAAGGGAGAGAAGCTGAGGCAGATCACCTACAATGGAGAGATGCAGCAGAGGCACAAGGCAACAGCACAGCCCATCCTGCTCCCACTCTCATCTCTCATTACCACATGTGTTCCTCCTCTGACTCTGTGGTTTGAGCACCTTTGGTGGGGATAGAATTCAGGACTTCACTGCTGGAGTGAAATGATGCCCAGATCCCATGGTAAGGCCTTGAGTTCCCCATATGGCCAACCCCAGAGTAAGGGGAGAGGCCCCTGCCTGCCTTCCCTGAGGGGCATGTTCACACATCAGCATCACCAGGGAGAACAACTGTAGCTGGAGTTGTGCTTATTGATTAACACAAACTGTGAAAGGGAAATGGCCAAAGATATTTGTGTAAGCCCAATGCAAACAGGGACATCCTGAGATGCTGAGAAATGCTGAGTTCCACCCCCACCCATGGCAGAGGGTTGGAACTAGATGATCTTAAAGTCCCTTCCAACCCAAACCACTGTAGGATTCTATGATTCCATGATCCTAACAGTAACTAAGCACCTTCTGTTAGGAGAAGAGCTGTGGAAAAAGGAGGAAAGAAAAGAGCAGACTCAGGATTAATATGGACTTTTTATTTAGTATTCTGGGCCAAACTGTGGCTCAGCTTAGCTCTGAGGCCAGTGAAGAACTGCAAGGTTACACTCAGAGGGAATTCAGAATTTGGTCTGGTTTGGCTCACGACCCTAGGAAAAACCAGTCTGATGCCTCGAATTGAATGTGAGAATGCCCCAGAGACTGGGAAAATGCCCCAGAGAGAGGTTCTGTCCTGTAATACTGAAGTTGTGCAAGAGCAGGATAACAAGAGCACAGCAGAATCCCAACTCCAGCACTGCATTGTAAAATGTGAATCGCCTCCTATTTTCTTACCCAATAAACTTGGGAAATCCTGAAATTTGAAACTAGCCAGGAAAGGCAAAAAGAAAAAAGGACTGGAGAGGGAGGGAATGAGGAAATACAGGGATCTGGTTTTTCCAAAGCTGTTCACTTTGCTGTCCTAGAAAGATGCATAGTCCCTAACACACATGATGACAAAAACCCTGCTGGCTAGCTGGGACAGGTCACAGAGACTCTTTAGGATTTAAGACTTGAGCACAACACATTCTGCATGTTCATGTCCTCCATCTGAACTTCTCCATGGTATAAACATTCCTTTGCAATATCTGGGATCTCACTAGCTCTTCCCTTCTAAGACCAATCTTTCACCTCAATTTTGTTTCAAGAGCCAGTGCAGAAGATAAGGTGGTTAAACACACAACAGACATGCAACGTTTATCTTACTCATTCCCAGTCACTGGTATCAAATGTCATTGCAAACAGTGACCATCTGATTCCCATTTCCAATGTCAGGAAGAAGAACCTGTACCTGACCAAGTACTAAGTAAGTGATTTTGTGTTCCACAGGCATTGCACTACTCCAGAGTGTAGCAATGCACTGACAGTGGATTAAATATTTATGGAGAAGAGGGGAAAAGGAAACCAGGCAAGGCTGGAAAACAGTGTCTGATAACAGTGCAGAGCCCCAGCCTGGAGCACAGGCAGCAGCTCTGATAACACATCTGTATTTTTACACCAGAAGGCTGGATGACAAGGGGATCCAGTTCAAGCAGTGCTTATCACTGAATTATCAGTCCTGTGTGTGAACCCTAAACATAGGTACAGCACAGGAGCAGATGGGCCACTGGGAATTAAATCCATGGTGGGGTGAGAAGGACAGCAGGTTAACAGGACCAGGGCTGGATTTCCTGAGTGGAGATGAGTAATTGCACAGATGCAAACCTGCTGGAAAAACCTGTTCCGATGATCTCATTTCACTCCTTGTTAAGTGCAAGATGCTCCTGTGACATCTACTCGTGTGTAAAAATACCCCACAGAGGAGGACAGAGGGGTGGAGGAAATAAATGAGTGGTAATGTGGGTGCTCCTGCTCACATCCAGGGCAAGGAGGATCCCTGACTGACCCTGATCCTTAGTGGTGTGTGCAGGTCAATCACTTACAGCTGCCTCAGGCTCTTCATCTTGGCAAAGGCGTCGGCTTGGATGGAGCGGATGGCATTGTCCCCGAGGTTCCTGCAGACACAACCACAGGCAAGGTGAGCAAAGGGATGCCATGGCTGGGACAGAGCCTCTCCACAGCTAAGCAATGACTCCAGCAGCAGGGGATTTAGTGGCTCCTGGTTAAGGCCATATCCACTTGCAGCTCACAGAAATGTTCCTCAAAACACCTTAAGTACTGCTGAACAATAGTCAACCAACAGAAATTATGGGAATATATCACTAAGTCATTCCCTACTCCATCTTCTCACTACACATTCTCAGTCTCAGCTACCTCCATAGCTCAGAAATTCCTCAGCCCCCAAAGATAGTCAGGAATGTCATACCCCAGGCTAGACCTTCAGCAAACATAAAGAAAGCAAATAATTGCACTGAGCAGCATCTGAGGAGTGACTTGAAAGCGACTTGGAGAGGGAACTGTTGTGTTTGAAAAAACACTGCAATGTTCCCAAAAGAAGGGATTCTTAAAAGTTTCCCTCACAACTAGTGCCAATTCAAAAATTCCTTAGTCCTCTAAATGAATAAGCCATGTCAGAGTTAGTGCTGAAGTTTACTAAGTGACATGCAGGGCAGACAAGCACTGCTTGAAGAGGAAAATCTCAGCAGAGCAGTTAGGGCACCTTTACTTGTGAACGTGTCCCCAGTCAGGCAGCTCCAACCCTTCAGTGTGCTCTCCATGGCCATAACATTGCATACAATCAACAGCCAATAAAACATGTAGAGCACAGTCACATAGACTTTAACTTCTCTTAATCCAGAAAGGAGGTTATTCATGAATCACTGCTGGAGTCATCAGCCTTGGGACACAGAAAAAAAATTACACAGAGGCAGCCAAAACCTACTTCTTGCAAATGGCTCCAAGGCAGTTGTGCTGAATGGGGATGTTCAGTGCCTGCATCATGAGCAGTGGTCTGCAACATGTGTCTGGATTTAGGAGGAGCCTGATGCAAGGGAGGGAGAGGGCTACATCTGAACCAGCATATTTTCACTGCTAACTGCCTGCAAAGCAGCAATGTGCAAGTCAAGGCGATACTTATCCAAGAACAAATCAAAAAATTAAGAGCATGCAGATTTGCCATATGTTCTATAACTTTGTTCCTGGCAGAAAAAAAGGCCAAAGTTGAGGAGGGCTTATAATGAGAAGGAAGCAGGTGGCCCCCACAAATGGACTGGCTTCTCAGTTTACAAAGACACTATTAAATTGCTAGCAGATCTCTCAAGCAGCTACTTTTGGCAGCCCCCCCTTCCCAAACTCTGAGGCATGGTGGGTTACTCACAGGTGCTCCAGGGCCTCCAACCCTGAGAACGCTTTCTTGGCCACCGACTTGATCTTGTTTCCAAACAGAGTTCTGCAGTTTCCAAACATCCAGCGCCAGATAAACAGAAAGAAAAAGGGGAGAGGGGGCAGAAAAAGAAGGAACACAATTAGTGTGGTTTTATCTGATATCCATGCTCAGTTTAAGTCCCAGGAAATCTGAACTGCACAGAGATTAAGAGGGTTGAAGCACACTCACTTTCCTGCTCCTGAAATGAAATCCTTTTATCTGGATTTGAATTTAATAGTGATGACAGCGCAAAAGGGAATGTGCCATATCACATAAATAGGCAGGTTTGCTCCCGTGCTTGGAAACCACCTTGCTGAGTAATAGAAGGGCTCATCTATTCTTCACAGCATGGCTGTGGACAGGACTAAATGCAATGACACTTTAACAAGATTTTGGTCTCTCCCTGCAACACTTTTCATTTCTGACTTCTTCTAGGCAGTAAATGAGTGGTGATTTATTCACTGCTATTGGCCTGGATGGACATCCACACACAGGGCTGAGAGCTGTCCCTGACTGCACATTCACACTGCAGCTGACTGAGGTGACTGCTGGTTCCTTCCTTGGCTCATTACACATACAACAGCAAATATAATGCAACAAATTATAGCCAAGTGATAATTTCAAGGGGCAAAAGGTAGAAAAGGCAATGCCCAGAGCTGAGGAGAGTGCCTGCTTGCACTCTGACCAGAGAGCATTCCTCCAAATCAGCAGCAGCACGAGAGGAACTATGAGCAGGCAACAGCCAGCTGGAGTGATCCCAGCCCAGCTGCCATCTCCAGAGTAACAGTTCTCTATAAATATTGACCAGTGGTGGTCAGCCAGGGGCAGGGCTCATGCCAAATGGATAGTCTCCTCACCTGTTTTAATAAAACATCAACCAGTGTCATCAATTAGGAACTGCTTTCTTTCCCAGGCTCACGCTGTCTAAGGGTTATCTTCCAGGTGCATCTTTTATCACCACCTGCTTCACATGGTGTCCTATATGTCATCACTAAAAAACTGGCACATGTGGTGCTGCCTTAGATTTTGAGTTTTCCATCAAGAGTTTTCTTTCCAACCTCTATCTGCACCATAATAGGCCCTAAATCCATCCTAAATCCAGGATCACAAACCTTATCATCCTAGAGCAAAACACACATGCTTGAAACCCTTTCTTATGGACAGACCTAACCTGGTACAAAACCACAGTTGAATTTTCAGAATTGAGTCCTTTCATTGAGCTGGTGGCTGAGGAAAGGCTCCATGTAGCTGCAACCTGCTTTATGATTCTAAATATCTACAGTGAGCTTTACTGAGCATCTTGTTACAGCTCCAAACCCAGGGAATCAGAGGTCCTGTCCATTGCATCAGAGTGTGTGTGGCTTTTTGCTCTGGGTGAAACACCCCCAGCACCAAAGGATGTGTGCAATCATGTGTACCATCATTGGTAAAAGGGCTGCTGTATTAATGAAGGCTTTGAGAAATCCATTAGTGTGATTAATATAGTAAATAATTTACTATATGCAAACTCTGGTCATATGGCTGCATCCATACACATTGATTTCTGGAGTCATATTCCTAAATAAGAGTGTTAGAAGGGTGAGAGAAGGGTGTAGTAAGGATGAGAGCAAATAAGCCTCAAGTTGCACCAGGGGAGGTTTAGATTAGACTTTAGGAAAAATATCTTCACAGGGTTGCAAAGCATTGGAACAGACCAGACTGTCCAGTGGTGGAGTCACCATCCCTGAAGTGTTCAAAATGCAGATGGATATGGCACTTGAGGACATGGTTTAAAGGTGAACGTGATGGTGGTGCTGGGTTAACACTTGGACTTGATCTCAAAGGTCTTTTCCAACCTTAATGATTCTATGAAACTTAGATGGGTACCTGTTGTTGAAAAAACGTTGGGTTTGGTTTGATAACTGGAGATTTCTATTTATTGTTTACAGTGGGTCTTGGTGCAGATGGATATGGCACTTGAGGACATGGTTTAAAGGTGAACGTGATGGTGGTGCTGGGTTAACACTTGGACTTGATCTCAAAGGTCTTTTCCAACCTTAATGATTCTATGAAACTTAGATGGGTACCTGTTGTTGAAAAAACGTTGGGTTTGGTTTGATAACTGGAGATTTCTATTTATTGTTTACAGTGGGTCTTGGACTTTGAAAACTGGAGATGCTGAGGAGACCTGTTTACTTCTCTGTGCAGAGATAAGCAGTGCATCTGGGGGAAGGGTAGGTGCATACAACTTTATGGCTGTACATGAGAAATACATAACTCAGGTAACAAAGCCAGCCCTCAGCAAACTCATTAAACTCATTAGGGCTTTGCAAATTTCAACTAAACATCTCTCCGGATCTGAAATGGTTGGATCCCAGCGGCTCCTTCAAAGGGCTGTGGCATGCAGCTCACAATTAGCCAGGCTGCTGCCTCCCCAAAGGCTCCTGCAGCCTGCAGAGCTGGGCACCAGCTCTCCCGGGGATTGCACAACTCTAATTACACGCCAGGCACGCAATTCATTAGAAAGCAGCATTTTCTCCTCCAGCCAGTTTTGCACCTGCAGGAGGATCTCAGTGGCTGAGTGAGCCATCAACAAACCGGTTACATTTAGCAGCTTGAATAATTAGGAACCTCGCTGTTCCCCAGCGATTCCACTGATGCTCTTTCTGCTTCGGTGCCTCTGACTCCCTCTTTCTCCAAGCAACATTTTAATTTCGGGCTGTGCTCTCCATCCTGGACAGCTTCATCTATAATTCAGAGAAGGCTAAAGTGACTGGCCTCCCCATCTCTGTTTAACACCTTCATGTCACCCAACAACCCTCTCCGTGCTAAATCCTTTCAGAGGCTAATCTGAGCCAGATCAAAGGGGAACGGCTTTTAAGGCAATCTCCACAGAGCTGAGGTGATTATTAATTCATTGGAAGGTCTCCTCTGAAGTGCCCATTTATTTTTTGTATGCTAATGCGTTTAAAGCCGGCTGACGGTTTAAACACAAGCCCTAAATCACACGATGAAGTGTTTGCTGTAAAGCCTGATCCTTTTATTTAGGAAAAAATCCTGATCTTCAGCCTTAGATGAAATTAGCAGTGCAGATGAGTTAAACATCCCTTTAAAAGTGACCACTCCCAAGTATCCTCAAAACACCTAAAGAAATAATAATAATAATAATTATTATCTCATATTCTGAGATTCTGAACTATTTGAGGTATTCTGAGCTTTTTCTAGCCTTACACTCTGGCTGAAAACAAAAATCCCAGCAAGCTCTCTGTCCCACAGCAGGTTCACTGTTAGGTTATCATACTACTCCTGTCTGACCGAGACCAACCTGACCCACACACTCTTCCAGGCTGTGAAATGTGCTGTAATCCCTCACACAGACCTTCCCTGCACATCCTTCCCTGCGTTCAAGCCAGACTCAGAGCTGGCCCGAGTCCATGGGCAATGAAAGACATCAGTCAGCAGTGTGAAGGGAGATGCAAACCCAGCTTCCCCAGCCTTGCACAGGTCTGTGCTGCATCCTCTGCTGCTGGCAGACCAGCCCAGCCATCTTCTGCAGGACTTCCTCGTGCCAGATTATAAACATCACACCAGACCATGGCTATTTCACTTGGGAGCGATAGCTGCTCTGCCCAGAGCTCCCAACACACAGCCCCACAGGCTGCCCCTGCTCCCTTCCTTCCTCCTCCTGCTCCTTGCTGGACCTCCTGGCCTCTGCTTGACCCCCACAACTCATCAGGGCTCACTGCTCTGTGTTGCCCAGTCAATTCTTGTGCTGAACTCTCCCTCGGTGCTGTCTCCCTTTGGCTTTTTCACCTCTCTCACCTGCCTCTCTCATCTGCACCCAGTATTTCTAATATATCCCTCTCACTTGGGACCACTACATTTGCTCCCATACCACTGACCATGCTAGGGGGATGCCCTATGTGCCACCTGGATAGCTCTCCACCTCTCTGCTCCTTTCCTCCACCTTCTCTCCCTTGCCAAAGCAGCACTACAGACTCATAATCCTACAGCCTGCAAATCCCACTGGACAAAGCCTCTGCTCCCACTACCCTTTCCAGCCACTCACGTGGTTTCACTGGTTTCTTCAAACAACCCAAAACCTTCAGTCAAGCAGCCAAGGATTCTCCTACCCACCACATCTGCTCCTCTGCCTTTTCTCCAGCAACTCGTGGGAATATTTCCTGTGTGTGCACAGTGATTCCTATTGGCCTCTCTCCCTCACACTACACTGCTACTGCCCTGGCCTGGCTCCCCTGTTCTTAAATACTTCTCTGCCTTCTGCCTCACTTTCCTTGCAGCTACAAACCTGGCTCCCAGGACTCCCCTCAGCAGTGCTCAAATGCCATCTCTGTCTGATTTCTGATTTTATTTCTCTAAGCACTACATCCCCATGAATCCTGCCATGGCTCGTCCCACTCCCCAAGGAGTCTGTAATGAGAGTGTGACAATATCCCTCCTGCCACGATTCATTCCAGCCATCTGCTATCCATCGAGGTACTTTTACTGCACCTCTGGCTGTGCCATCTCAGCATCAGAGACAGCAGGGTTGGGGGGAGGGTTGGGGGGTGCTGAGAACTTCAACAAAGGCAAGAGGTAATGATTAGAAAGTCTTGATTTGTCACAAGCCCTGAGACCCCTCTGACAGGGCTGATTGATATCACCCGTTTCAAATGGAATAGGAACTTGTAGAGAGCAATGTGAAAATCCCTGCGAAGGCCAAGCAAGCTATAAACATTTGCAAGGCGCATGCTTGCCTTGGGTTTCTTTTTATCTCTTTAAGAGCCTATGCCCCATGGTGCCTTTTATTGTTGCTGCACATGGAAGCAAGCCCAAAAGATCACTCTCAGGCAGAGTATCCCACAGAAACGAATCCTGTTTCAACCCTCTGTTGTAACAGGAAATGGGGTGATTTTTCTCTTCTGTTTATTGTTATTTGCTGCATCAATCAGTGCTTCGCTGAGGGTTGCAAAGAGGTCCTTTTTGTTGCTTGTTTGCTTTTAGAAGTGAGGAACAGTTGTGCTGAATTTTACACATGAAAACAACTGAAATTTCTCTCTCCTCTGTCTCTGACCTACAGTATGTGGCACCATCTGCTCATCACTTTTAAAGGAAGTAATTGCCTCATACCCGCTCAGAAACATCGGTGCTTGATAATCACGTTTGCAATACTGCACTGAGCCTGCAAAACTACCACATCTCAGATTTTCTGTTGATTTTTTTTGCCTTGTTCCAAAGGGAGGAAGGCTGCACTGGAGGGGACAGACCACCCCCACACAGACACACAACACAACTGCTTTGCAGAATTCAAACCAAGGGATACTCACAGCTTGCTCAGGTTTTCCAGGCCTGTAAAGGCTCCGTTGGTATCTTCTATTGTGCCTGAGATGTCATTGTGGTCCAGTTCCCTGGGGAGAAGACAAGAGAGAGCTCATAATCAACATCTTAGTCCCAGGCTCATCCTTACAACAAATGGAACAAAGTAGGAGAATGCCACATGAGAGCTTCCCATTTTCTCCTGACAGTTATCAGAAAACACAAGAGTCCTGCAGTAAGGCAGCACTAATCACTTTTCCTGCACTGACCCATGCTGGGATGGTGCATTCCAAAAGAACTCTGGCTTGTTCCTAGCTGAAACCCTCTGAGACAGCAGCAGGAACAGACAACTACTTTTTAAACAAGTAGATTTCAGTCCTTTTCTAGTTCTGTCCACATCCAAACAGAAAGAAGAAAATCAAAACAAGTGCCAAAACTAAACTGAAACAAACAGCTGTCCTTAAATGCTAATATAAAGAACTAAGATCACTTTGGCTATTCCAGTGTATACATCTATCTGTCTATAGCTGCATCTTAGCAAGATGGTTTAGTGGTCTTTTTCTATGAAGCTGCAATTTATTTCTGGTAATGAACTTGAAAACTCAACAAAGGAAAGCACCAGCATCCCTACACCAGCCAAACTCTCTGTATAATCACTTTTAAAGGAAAAAAAGAAAAAGAATTCCTCCTTCAGAGTTAGCTTCTTTTGGCTTTCAAATTGACCATCAATTACAAGAGTCAAAGAGGTCTGAAGAAAAACAAGCACACAGAACAAACACAGAGATCCACAAAAGCTGTTTAAACAGTCTGTTTAAAAATCCTTCCCTCCTAAGCTTTAATTCCAGTGAGCAATGAATACCCAGCAACACAGACAGAAATTCATCATTTCCAACGTTAAGTAAAAAGAAAGAAAAAAAAATAAATAGGCTTTGTTGGTTTTGTTACTTTACTTTGATTTAAAACCTGGCAAAACCCAACACCAAAGCAAACTTCACCATCCAGATAACCTCCGAACCCTCAGGTACTCCTATCACACCTTTGAAGATGATTATCAGAGCATTTCCAGATAAAAAAATATTAAGACCAAAAAAAGAAAAAAACCCCCTGTATTTTGCAGCACTCCAAACACAGGGATCACAGTGTAGCTTCTGGGCTCTGCAGCACAAACACACAGTAACCCACAAGAAGGGAAAAGAAATTTTAAACCCCCCAGTTTCAGTAAGGTCATGGTTTGCCTCAGCTGAGATTTCTGCTCTCAGTACCTCAGCTAGCTTCAGCCTTTGCTTCTTTCTCAGCCTTGGTGTGTGAACTAAAGATGTGAAGGGAGATGGCCAAAAGCCACAATTCCTGTTTCTCAGCTGCCTTCAGGCTGAGACCTGAACCTAAGGTCCCTGGGGAACCCTAACCTTAGCCAGCACCACTGTGGATGTCAGGGTGATGTGTGGGTCTCTCTCTGCCAAAGGGATGGAGAAAAACTCCCCATCCCTGCGGGGTGTGGGCACACAATGCTCTGGTGGCATAAGAGATGAGTCCAGGAGAGATGCTTTGATGTGCTGGCACTTCCAGCACTACCCAAGTAGGACAGGAGCAAATACATCCTCCTGGAGCTCAGCTTCTACATTTTCCCTACGGTTGCCAAGCCAATGTCTGTTGTTCTGTTTGTTTTTTAATGGAAAATCCCTTCTCAGACATTTCTCCTCTTCAGTTTCACCACGGGCTACTGGTCTTTGGAGCAGCAAACCCTTTCCCATGGCAGGGACAGACAAGTGGGGACAGCATTTAGGAGCTCTGACACACACTTTTATTAATTGACTGCCACACATTGTGTTTCCTTGAAAAAGGGAAAGAAAATGGTATTGCTTGTTCATCCAGAGGCAACTCAAAGGTTTAGTGTTAGAAAGGAGGAATAAAAACCTTTTTAACAAATGAGTGAAAATAGAGAGAGGGGGGGAAAAAAAAGAGTGGGGTATTTTGGCCCAGCTCTCTTTGTATTCCAACTCCTCTCCCAGCCCCTGTTGCCAATTTCCTATTCTTTCTGGCTGGCTGAGCTTGAATGCTCGAAGCCTTGTTAATCATTGTGCTCCGAGGTCTCCGGGCCTGACCTCTATTTGAATAGCTCCACATTTCAGCAGTTTCACACCCACCAAAGGCTCCCCAACAATAGCCCATAATTAAAGCATGCTCGGCTCTTTTTCACCAGGTGCAGGACCCAATAGGCCTTTCTCTTTATTAAATTAGAGCTCGCTCACACACTCCCTCTCCGCCTCCCCCCTCTGCCTTGGACATAAAAGAGGCTCCACATTCACTGCAGAGCAAAGAGAACTAGCAGCTCCCCTTCCCTTCCATTTTTCTTTGGAAACCTTTAGTTCCGGTCTTGACAGCTGCCTGAGAGGTCCCTTTCTGAATGCCCAGTGGCTGAAAGGCTTTGGCTTAAGTTTAAAAAAAGCAAACAAAACCCAAACTCACTTTCCAGTCACTTCCTTCACTATGAACTTCAATAAAGCAAAGAGTAAGATGCAAAAAAAGTACTGTAAAGAGGGGAGATCTCTCTGTTCCCATTTCCTTTTAATGATTCAGGGCCACAATGGGCTTCTGAAGAGAAATAAAAAGTATCAAAGTGGGTTTTTTTTCTTTTGAAGGAAGAATTGTATCAGTGTGCTGAACCCAAGCAGCCTGGGAGTGTGGCTGGTGCTGTAACACAGACTGTGAGAACTTTGTGATGTGCCAGACGAAGGTGCTGAACCCACAGCCCCCAGAGAGAGGAGGAGAGTGATAGGACAAGGGATAATTGGTTCAAATTTAAGGAGGGGAAGTTTAGGATAGATATTAGAAAAAAGGTTTTTACTGTGAGGGTGGTGAGACACTGGCCCAGGTTGCCCAGGGAGGCTGTGGATGCCCCAACCCTGGCAGTGTTCAAAACCAGGTTGGATAAAGCCTTGAGCAACCTGCTCTGGTGGGAGGTGTCCCTGCCCAGGGCAGGGGGTTGGGACTAGATGATCTGTAAGGTCCATTCCATCCCCTAAAATTCTATGATTCTATGAGAGCAGCCAGCAGCCCTGCAGGCACCAGCAAGGCACCAGAGGCAACACTGCTACAGGAATGGGCAATTATTAGAACCTGATTCCCCATTTTCTGATGTTCACAAGGCAAGCCCAGATGTACTTCAAATCTGACACAGCTCTTGGGTTTAACAGTGCATAATAGCACAGTTCTGCAGCTGGCATCCCAGAGGAGGTCACACTGATCTGGCTAATGGTCTCTACTAGCCCTAAAATCCTAGACGTTGGTATTTGGATCAGCCAGCTCATTTCCAGTGTCACATTTCCAGGTATTATGTTGTGTCAGTGATTTTAAAATAAAAGTCTGTGGTAAATGGCCACAGCCCACACTGGATGGATCATTTTGGAGCTCAGTATTAGGGCACATGAAATTTTTCCCTCGATAGCATGGCAATTTTTTTGTTTTTCAGGGATTATCATGAAAATCAGAGCACAAAACATTTCATGACTCAAGTGATCCCAATTCTGCATTAAAAAGAAAGACTTCTGGTTGCTCCCATGGTACCTGTAGCAGCTTCTTATTCCCATGGTCAGACCCAAGACTGGGTGACACTTCATGTGTTGTTACCCTTCTGGTATAATCAGCTCCCAAGCCCAACCTCTCCATTTCTTTGTTTTGCCATTGCTTTTTTCTTAACAGCATCTTAGCCCAGAATTTTATATTTAATATTCAATTAGAAAAGATGGAGCAGCACAAAAATGCTCAATGGCACACTTAGGAGGATATTCAAGGAATCATCCCCTACTCCTCATGAGTGCAGAATGACCCACCAGCAACTATCTTATGCCAAGAATTTCAATTCAAGTCAATGTGATAGTAAGAGATTCTGCTATTAGCTGCAGCACTGAAACCTCAGGGATTTTTGGTCAGGATCCTGTCCTATGTTCCTATAATTTCACTCTGGAGCCATCTACCCTGAAAACAGTCTACAACACTGAATAGTGCAACTGCAATTCTGCTATTCTTAATCAAAAAATACAAGTTCTGAAGTTGAACAACAGGGCAAACACAACAGCTGCTGAAGACAACAGTGTGCAGGGGAGTTTGACACTGAGGACCTGATCACCCAAAGCACCTGCAAAGCAGAACTGTCTGGCAGAACATGAACTGTGGAGTGAAGATGGGTGTTAGCTGATGAAATCTGAGAGCAACTTACAGGACACGTAGGTTTTTGAGTCCCTTGAAAGCACCTTCTGCAATGTGGTTGATGGAATTGTGGCTCAGCCGTAGCACGTGCAGTCCCCCAAGGTCAGCCAAGCTTCCCTCATCCAGCCTGGTTAGGTTGTTGTAGGAGAGTATTCTGAGGAAAAAAAACACAACAGCCCCTGTCAAACTATTTGGTATTTTCCAAACTCCTCTGTGCCAACCACTGCCTGCCTCCCACAACCACCTTACAAGAGCAAAGTACTGGGTGGATACGTAACAGCTGGATTAGGAAATAAGATTGCAGCCTGCAATATTCCCACAAGATACCCATGGAGAAACTTGGATGACTCTAAGGGAGCAGGAGGCACTTGGTACCCAGATCTGGAAAGTCTTCAGTGTAGGCTACAAAGAGAGGCTCCCCTAGAAGTGACTGAGAACAATAACCTACCCCATACACTGTCAGTTGTAGTATGGATAACAGGCTACAAAGAGAGGCTCCCCCAGAAGTGACTGAGAACAATAACCTACCACATACACTGTCAGTTGTAGTATGGATAAGCTACTCCTGCTCCTGCACAGCTAGGAGAGGGTCTGGGAACACCATCCCCCTCAGTGCCCACAGGTATAGCCAACACTCAGATGGTTGTCCCACTCCCATTTGGACTCTCTCTGAGGTTTACAGGAAGAATCAGTCCCTCCTTCCCTGAGAGGTGGAGGGTGACATCAAACACATGGATTTCAGAGTTCACAGGAGCTCTTGGCAGGGCCCACACTTCTGTATCCAAGAGGTGTCTTATCGTTCTGCACTTGTGCTCAGCCAGCCCCAGGCGTCTGGGTGTGGGTGCTGCTCCACCCCAGCCCAGAGCCAAAAGCATTTCACCACAAGGCAATTGAATGCTTCCTTTCATGCACAGGAAGGAGCTATCTCTTGTAAACCAGTGCCTTCCCTCCCACTGCCCTTTGTCAAGGAACATACACTCTGCTTGAAATCCTCACCACTTACAAGACACTCATACTAAAGGGTTGGTTTTTTTCCCAGTTCTTCATCTATCTCTTCGCCTTGCCTGTATTATCTCTGATTTTGGAGACTCTTTTTTAAGCTCTACTGTTGCAGTTTGGAAGCTGGTAGGAAGAAAGCTGCTTTTCTCTCCCAGCCAAGGTGCAGATAAGGCTTTGGGGATCTGACACCAAGGGCAGGCCATGGGAAGCTACAAGTCACTGCAGCCAAGTCACACTGTGCAACCACCTTCTATCCAGCAGTAAAGCTACAGTGCTGCTGCTGTTGAAAGCCAGCTTGGATCACCAAATTAGGGACCTCTCAAGGTAGCAGCAGGCATAGGATTTTGGAAAATACCTTCGTGACCTAGGAGCACAAGTCACTTCAAAAGATGTGAGAGTTTGGGCTGCTCAACGAATAAAAAAAGTGGAGTTGTACAGCTTTGAACAAGCACTGAAATCCTTCATTGTACAGACAACAAGGGGATAAAAAAATCTCACTGAGTTCCAAACCTCCAAATTCCTCCTCTAGTACTGCCTGTTAATGACTCTGCTTAAAAATGTGTCTAGGGCTTGCATGAAACTCACTGCAAAGCCAAAACCTAAGTCAAAACAGACACATGCTCCGAAGCACTGCGAGTGTCATTTACTTGGCAAAGGTGCTGTCTATCTTTTAGCTGTGTGAGTGGGCAGAGGGCAAGCTCTGGAAAAAATTCTGCTAAGATTAATGAGTTTGAAGAAGGTATGGGACAACATACTTTCATGCCTAAAGAAGTTGTAGCGTTAGCTATGAAGAACTGGCATCTGGTCAAAATTATGTCCTCACCTGCGATTAAAGAATTTGGCTTTTAACAGGGAAAAAAAAAAAAGTGTTCAAAAGTAATCCTAAACCTGGCTGAGAAAATAAATAGTTCCTTTTGATTCTACACAGAAGAGCTCCTGCCACAACTGGTGAAGGCACGTTCCCTCTGTTGGTTCTGACATCACCTCTAGATGGATGGACAGCAGCAAGATTTAGAGCCTCAGTGGTGCAACCACATGGAAGGGGGTTCAGGAGCTATCACACCTGGCAGTGGCTTTTCAACATGCCAATTTGCAAGCCAGCATGTTTCCTTTCCCAGCAGTGTGGATTATCTGGGTTGAGAGAAGTCAGCAGGTCTCTGCTGCTTCCCTGACCTTGTCATCTCTCTACCAGCGAGAAATCACTGGAATGAACAAGTGGAAATGTTTGCCTGCACAGCCCTTCTGGCCTGGCCAGAAGTGGGAGAGCAGCTTACTGAGCAGCTTGCCAGAAAGTGGCACAGAAAGGGGCTCACAGAATCCTGCTGTGCAGCTGGGGCTCCTGCTGCCAGCCAGTTCTGGACCAGGTACATCTAACACATTTCATTCCCATTGACCAAACTACAGGTAAAATGTGAAAAGAAAGACCCAGCAGCCAAGTCATCTGTTACCTCTGATGAAATCCTATGCTCCCACTGTGGATTTTTCCATGATGCAGATGCTCCAGCACCTGACTGGTGAATACAATCAGCCCTTTCTCATGCCCATAACAAGGCAAGAGCTTTCTTCCCTTGTTAGCTTTTACATCAGACCAGAGCCTTGGGGTCACGTTTTGTCCCAGCAACTAAAGAAGAGACAACTCTTCCTTCAGATAACCAACTCTTTCCTTAGCAGCGTTTGAAACTGCACAACCACAGACAGTGTTTTCTGGTAACTGAAACCCAGGAGATTTAGCAATAGTGGAGATGAGCAATGATCAATCAGGAATGAAATGTACACATTTAACCAACTGCACGAGTCAGTCTAGATGTACCTACATCATCCTTTCCTCACCCTTCAATTTCAGCACAGACCTGTCCTAGGAGTACTCCTGTGGCTGTGGGAGTTTCAGTTAGGAGATCTGATGGCTCCCTGCAGCAGCCTTACCCTCAAGGCAACACCTGCAAGAGCTTGTAATACTTTGCAGAGATGTGTGCTAACACCCACATAATCACCTTTCACATCTCAGCTACTGTAGTCTCTGGCCTCACACTCCAGCACAATCCTGTTTGTCAGGCCAAGCACGTCCCAGTGGCTCCCACCATCTCACACCACCAGGCATTTTCCAAATCTACCCCATCCTGCACCTCTGCAAGTGAGTCCTGCACTGGTTTCTGCAGTTACTGCAGGGGAAGGCCTCCAAGCCAGGGTGGCTCACCATTAGCACTGCTGGTTGGCATGAGATCTCAATCCACACCTGACAAATAAAGGACTCAGAAAGACATGCAACCTCCAATCTAAACCCTGAGGGTTTGCAAGACAAGCAAAATTCTCCCTAGAAGAGTTCTAACATTAGCCCTGCAAGATGCAGATGGAACTTACCCATCCCATCTAACCCAGACTAAAATAAAGCCTCATTTGGGTATATGTACCCAATATACAAATATCTGTAGCACAGATTGGCTGTGCTACTAACACACTGCAGTGATCTGAATTTGGGTATTCCAGGGATCCAACTCTAAGTGCCTTGGGAAAGCAGACTCCCCTTTTTTGATGTTTCATATTTAAGCAGACCACGGGTGGAGCACAGTGTTGATTCTGATCTGTTGCCTTGAAGATCTCTCCATGAACACTGCCTTAACCTAGCAAAACAGCACTTGAGGAGCTGCATGTGAAGGAACTGTAGCTGTCCACAGCACTGTGCCAAGCAAAGGAGCCCTTTAGGCATGGGCAGTTTTACAGCAACTTGAAAAATTTGGTAATTAAACAATAAAGTGTATCTAACTAAAACCAAAACTAAAATATTTCTTCGTGCCCCCCAAAAACAACCCACATCTGAACGAGTAATTTGGGTTCAAGAAAAGATCACAGCTGGTCACAGGGCTAACAATTTCATTTTAAACTTAAGGGAAAGATGTGTCATGTTCACCCACCTCTGAATCCCCATCCTAAAAGACTAGGGACTCACAGATGGATGGGCAGATACCAACCTCCAGTGTGAGCTCAGAGTGAGGCCTCTGACAGCAGGAAGCTGCTTTACCATACTACTTTTTGGTGGACACGAGAATCCCTAACAATGTTTAACATCTCAGAGCACCAAGCAAAATGAATTACAGTTCCACTAACCACATGTGTCAAATTCCCCAAAGAAAAAAGTGAATCTTTCCACAGTCCCAGCGAGGGGATGACAGCTACTCCTGTAAATACTGCAAGCATCCATGTGTGCCTCCTCAAAAAGGCATTAAGCAGTGCCACAGACCCAGAAGACACCCTTGTGGGGCTGTCCTCAGCAGCAAGGCTCTCTTTCATTTATCAAACATGCTGTATTCACAGCTGGAAACCTCAGGAGAGCAAAGTCAAGGTATTTACTTTTCGATAACTGAACCCTACAGGAAGAGAAAAGTATAAACAGGAGAAACAAGGAGAACTGCCTAAAAGGGCCAAATCCCTGCTGGTTAAAAACAAGACTGTTCTTTGTAAATAGAGAGGATAAAGCACAGTTTCCTTCAGGCTGTACAGTCATTACATGGCAAGCCATGCCTATCTTGTAGTTCACTAGCTAAAAGCTCTGGCAAGCCACAGCTCACAGACCCTCCAGGTCCTTTGGCACTGTGTACTTTTAGTGGGTTCTAGGTCTTTGTTTCTGGTGCAAACCTATTTTAACCAGGTGCTCTGAAGGCTGAAACACCATAAATAATAAGGGCATCACTTAGGAAGTTGCAGTTCCTGTAGTTCCAGGGTGATGCAGTGGGAGCTGTAAGTCTGGTGATTGGGAAAATTCCTTACTCCCCTTTCCTGCCAGTGTTACACCAGCATCAAACCTGCCCAACCAAACACAACAGAAGCCAACTTACAGCTCGTGCAGCTTCTGGCAGAAGCTCCAGCCATCGGGGTTGATGCGGGATATGGAGTTGTTGCTGAGGTGAAGCTGGTGCAGGGAGGAAAGGCCATAGAGAGAGCCACTGTTTACTTCTGTCAGGCTGTTAAATTCCAGGTGGCTGTGGAGAAAAATCAGAAGGAACCGACAGATAAGCAGCACTGGTCAAATGTTGAAGAATTTCCAAAGAATTGAGATTTTGGCCATTCCTAAACACTTATTCCATACCCATGAGGATATATGCATGTGTGGATAGAAATTCAAGGACAACACAAAGGAAATGCCCAGAAGGAGCTGTGACTACAGAGATAAGCTCCACTGCAAGTAAACTGAGCTTTAAACCTCCCATTCAAGTTTGTATTTGCAGTCTCAGCTGTGTGACAGCAGCATCCAGAAACATGCTGCCTTGATCACCTGTGACCTTGCAAACACACCTGAAAGCCAATCATGCTGGAAGCTTCAGGCATTTCTCTGCAATGACTACTCAATTTGTTCTCTTATATGGAAAGAAAACATCACCAAGATAGGCCAGTTTGGTTTCTAGGTATCCCAAGAGGTAGAATAATCAGGTCTGCAACATGTTTCCATGTCTCAGTCAAAACAAATTTGCAGAAGCTTTTATTTAAAGACCAATTGAGATCAGACTGCATGTTCAAAGGATCAAACTTCCAAAGGAATACTGCCACAAAACCAGGACTTTTGTAACTGAACACCTGGTAAAGCAATGAGCTTTATTTGTGGGTCAACTCAACAGAAGCTGCTGCAGCATGGCAGAGCTCTGGGCATGCAGGACACAGAAAGAAGCATGAGGACTGGCACAGGTGCCACAGGTTTGATGGGAGTCCTTGCTAAAATGCAGAGAAGGATGTGACAGGAGAAGTCCTGGCTGGTTAAGGGGAAAAGAGCCCATCTCTCCAACTTACAGAACTTGCATCTTGGCTAGACCCCAGAAAGCCCCATCAGTCAATTTGCTTATGTTGTTGCGCTGGAGTTTCAGGACTTCCAAGCTGTCCAGGCCCTGGAACGTCAGCCCTTCAATCAGGCGGATGCGATTCCGGTTCAGCTCCCTAGAATCACCAAGGCCATACAAGTTTATTAAACTCCAGTCCTTTCTCACGAAATCATCTGTGCAGCACACAATGGGGACAGCAATGCCAACAACTCCTCTGTCAACGGTTCCCAGGGGACAGCAGAAGTGCACCGGAAACTTTCAATCCCAGAGCTATCCAGGGAAGTCAGCTGGGTGCGATCGCTTAAATAAACTCACCCTGGGACAGGCTTTCATTCTAGAGAAATAACAGAGTGCAGCAATTCCTCTTCATCCCTCCTCTCTCTGCATTTCTTTTAAGCCATTGATCCTTTTCATCAATTTTCACACTTCATCTTCCCTCAAGCACAGACACCATTTGAACCAACGCAGTCAAACATCAGCACTATTTCCCTTACAACCCATTTGTACTTGTAATTGCCCAGGAAAATGTGCTCTGCAATAAGCAAATGCCCCAAGAACTGTGTGAGCCCAAGAGGAAACTTTATGGCCAAGTTTGAAAGGAAAGCTTCCAGTTCCCCTGACAAATGCCACATTTTTTATCCACTATAAGAAACTAATGGAGTGAAACAAGTTGTTTCCAATAACAAGGCAGTCTCAGTACTTTGTGTACACAAAGATCTCCAACTTGGTTCATTAAATTTATTTGAATTTTTTTCCTAAATTTGGAAAATACCTGTTTTCTGAGTAGCAGTATGAACATCATCACAGCACACTTTACCAATGTATATCAAACAGCCTGATGGACTGCTAGACCCAGACACACCAAGTGAAAATCCAATTCCATAAAGTCAGTGGAAAACTTCAACACAATGCACTAAAATCCTAAGTTAGAGCTTTTAAAATGGATATTTTTCTACACATACAAGACTAAGCTAAGGTAGTCCCCTATTCAGTGTTTGTGTTGAGGAAAACTGGTGGAGGTTACAGAACTTGTTTTGGAAAAGATGAGGAAGCCATAGAAACTTTTAGCTTACTTTTCAACTGCCTAAAAAAACAACACTGAATTTGCACTCGAGTTGAGTGCAATTAAAGTCAAGTAAGCAATTAAGACTTTGCAGGCCTAAAGTCCCTTGTCATATTGCACTTCCTGGGCTATTAGTGAAACATGCTTTGCCAGGAAAAGAACTGTACACAAATCCTACAACACATCAAGTCTGTATAACTTGCAATTCATTCATGTTTATCTACAGGGCTAAACAACCAGCTGTGAGGCTGTCATTAAGAGTACCAATTACTCCAACTTGCAGTGAAAACTATGTTTCTAAACAGGCTGAGTTGACTCTTGTTTTTATTACAGTTTTGCACATGATGCAGTCAAACAGTGGATTACAAGCTCGCACTCAATGGACAGTCACTTCCAGCTGGGAGGCAACAGACTTGTAAGATGCATGTGCTAATTGTGTCACACTGCTCAATCCCAAATTTCCTACAAATCCTACATGTATGCAAGCACACGTGCATACCCATTCCTTTGGCATCTCTTGGCTTCAGGATTTGTCTCTCAATCAAGAGGTTACCATTTAGAGGTGTGAGTTCCAACAGCTTTTGTGGACTTTATGTTAACAGACAGAGGTTGACCTTTTGCCTATCTAATTTGATGGTAAGATTGCAATGAGCCTCAGGGTGGGCTCATTTCTCCAACAGCAGCAGAAGGGAAAAGTTAACTCATTAGTGCTACTTTTTTTACACACAAAGCATATTTATAGCTGCAGATGTCTGTGTGTCCCTATGCAGCTCCTGCCATATGAACTGCAGGCCCAACAACAACGATGTGTGTGTTAACTCATCTAAGGTGCAATTTTCTCTGCCCAAACATCACCTCATGGTTTAACAACCTTCCCTCACTGCTTTTTTATTGCCACATAAAGATACCTGTGTGGTCCTGAGAAACTAATGTGGTAGCTGAGCTCTGTCACTCGTAATAGAAATGTCATCAAACCTCTCTTGGCCACAGACACCAACAGCTTGCAAGGGAATGATTTGTCTTACTCTGTCAAGTGTACAAAATGCTGATGTCTGCTGCAGCATCCCTCCCTTCCCACCTCATCCCAAGAATGGCCTGAAAGGCCAACAGTTACATGACAGAAAGGACCCTCTCCCAAGGTGTTTTAGTAGGTGCTGGCAGAGCACTGCTACATAGTATGTTCTGCATTTTATAGGTAGTAGGTGAGGAAGGGTGACATTTGGTGTGTATATCCTCAGGGACATTTTGTCTCCATAAAGTGTGGCTGAGCTTAATTAAAGAGGACATTTCTACTCACAGTTGTATTAGCCTGGGTAGCCTGAATGCCTTGACAGGAAGCTGAGTGATCCTGTTTTTACTCAGTCGAAGTGTTAGCAGGGACCGTGACAGACTATCAAAAGCACCAGGCTCCAGGGTGCTGATTCTGTTGCTCCCCAGGTAGCTGCAATAAATCACAGCAGAAAAATGAACAGTTCTGTCACAAATCTCCTTTTATCAGCATTTAGTTGGTCTCCAGACAGGCTGGTGAAATTACAGAGATGGCTTCAAACCAGTTGGATTTCTGGCTGCACAAAGAGCACAGTGCCTTTCCCAGAGCCACGTGACAGATGTGGAGAATTGCTGGGCACTTCCCAGAGCTCCTTCACACCCTCCTCCTTCAGCAAGGCAATCAGGAGGGAAGCCAGAAACTGGAGAATATTCCAGTGCAGGATGACTCTATTCATTCTCCACTTTTCCTCTCCAGAGTCTCAGGGCTCTTTCATACCTGGACCCTCGTCTTAGCCAGAGAGGCTGTTTTTACAGGACAACAGGCAAATATCAGTCCTAACATCACTTAAACCCTATTACAACCAGGGGCAGAAACTTAGGTGCAAACTTCAATGCAAACAGATTATTTGGCTGCACCTCTTTAAAAATACCTAACGTACAGATTATTTTATGTTTCTCTGAACGGGTGAACATCTCTGTCAGGAGGGTGTTACTCTGTTTAACCCCCAGCTTTCTTCAAATAACCAGAGGCATTTCTGTTCTTAACATTCAGCAGCTGCTTTAATGATGAAATAGCCTTTCTCCCTCCACTCTTCAGATGCACACGGGCTGAGCTGGGAAGCAGCACATACATTTCCCACTGGGGAAGAGACACAGGTCTCCTGCAGACACTTCTGCTGGTTTGTAGGTGGTTTGCTGCTGTAAAAATGATGCAGGATACCTATTCTTTACAACACAATTAATAATGAACTGCATTCTTAACAGATACATGAGAAACCAAGAAGCCAGCACTCAAAAAATAACCTGGCAGTAGGGATGATGTGCTGCCTTCTAACTCTCCTTCGGGCTCAAAATCCTGACCAATAATCCCATACTTTTTATGTTCATTACTTCTCCTTTTATTAAAGGTCTGAGGCCCTTTTCTCTGCTGTGGTAACTCAACAAAAGCTGTTCCCAACAAGACAAACTCACAGCTCCTTTATGTGAAGTCCCTGTGGAAAGCAGCCGTTTCGGATTTCCGTGATGTCATTGAAACTCAGGTCCAACGTTTCCAGGGTAACGTAGGGCTGCAGTTGACTTGCTTCAATGCTGCGGATCCTGTTGTGATGCCTGAAACAGAAAAGGAGGAGAAACAGAGACGATTTAGCTCTCTTAGAAAAACAGAAAGAATATCTGAGGCTGCAGGCAGGCCCCCAGGCTGGCCCTGAGTTCATACACTGCTCCTTCAACAGCCATCCGAGGAGAAACACAGCCCAGAGAACCTTCCCTAATCCCCACACTGCTCCTCTGGCTGGAGATCAGCTCATAGATATCTGCAAGCTTCTAGTTTTCCCTTCTTCAGAACTATGGACTCCACTCCTCAGTTTTTCTTCCAGTAATCTGGGTTCATTCTCCTACACGTTCCCACTTCCAAAATGGATTTGTTACATGCAAGGACTGCAGGACTGGATTTCAATCCCCCAGGCAAGGAGTGCTGCCAAAGCTATTCACAGAGGATGGGACTTTGAGAGAAGGAAGCAGATAAGTAAATACAGTCTCAACAAAAGTTACAGAACATTGTTTCCTTAATTCCTAAGCATTCTTGTGAAAACACCCAGCTTTGCACCATGTTACAAGGGTTTGTAACACACAGATATACTGTAAGGAGAGTTGCAAAGGTTCTAGTAAGTGTTTCCTCATCTTTTGCTACTTTTATCCCACTGTATGATCGGGACAACTCTGCAGTGCCAATGTCTGCCCAAGCACCAACTGCAGGATCAGACCCTGCACCCATCACCTACATTTGCTGCCTTACCAGTACAGCCTGAAGGATTCAATTTAAGGTTTTTGTTTATAGAAGGTACTACTAACTGTCTTCAGGATCTCCACAGCCACCAAACAGTTAAATACCTTCAGACCTCATCAGTACTCAAGAAGTTCTAACTAAAAATTCCCCCAGTCCTTTCCTCTGACTCCTTTCTGGCCTGATTCAGCTGAGAGAACAGTAATCAATTAAAAAATACATTGTGCATTAGTCACAAGAAGTAGAGCACATGCCTGATGTGAATTTAGACCAGTCACTGACATTACTGGCAAGGCTGCGAGAGAGGCACTCCAAACAGAGACACTCACCAGACACTTGAGAACTTGCTGAATAATAAGAGATAGTAGAGAGAGTTCAGACAAGTCCTGAGCCTTAATCCAGCCAGCTACCTACTGGGTAAGCAGAGGAGGAGACAGCAGCCAGTGAAACCATTCCTGAATGCAAACCAGGACATCCCTGCAATCCTGACAAAGCATCAGCTCTTTGAAACAAAAACCAAGGGATGACCAACACAGCCTTCCAGGCACTGAAGCTTACAGCTCTCTAGGAGCCTGTCTTCTCCAGCCTCACCCCCAATTCAGAGGTCCAGACAACCCCTTTCAAAGAAAATCTCCATCCCCACCAACAAAAAATACCAACAGCACACAGCAAGGGACCTGATCCCCACACCACGATCTGTTTCTTTACCCTCCCTATTATTAAAACCAGATTGTTTCACCACCACATTTGCTGCTGTCTGCAACAGGAAAAGGGTAAAATCTGCAACCCCAGAGCAATTTGCTTTTTGGAGACTCACCCTTGAAACAGGCAGCACATGACCCTTGCTTTGACACTGGGGAAACAGACCCAGAAATGCTGCTTTGACTGAAAAGTTTAAATGCTACTTAATTAACTCAGTGCAGGCTCACAAAACATTAAGGACAAATCTTACATCACTACAGCGATGTGCTGCTAATACAGTGCAACAAGGTGTCAAGAAAGTCAAAATAAAGTTGTAATTTATGTCTCCAAACCAGTTATTCTATGGGTTACAGGCACACAGGTCTCTACAGCCACAAACTGTGTAAGAGGCAATGGCATGGCTGCTGTCCAAATGACTAATATTCATTTACAGCCAGGAATCAAGATGGAATTTTCACATCTATGCACATAGTACAACAGAGATCCAGTGAATTTATACTATAGTGAGACTAAAATACAGGAAAAATCACTAGACACAATTTTGTGACATCCATAAACTGCACAGATGCGCAAGAGGAATTTCTTTTCTGCAAATACTAGTTTCTCTTGCAATTAACTTGATTGGTAGAACCAGCAAGTTCAGAAATTTCAGTCTTTTCTCCCCTCCTCAAAAGAAGAGAATGCATTAAATGTGCATGTAAGCCTGATTCAGGGAAGCACCGCAACACAAACACAACTAAAGCAAACCCTGAGCACGTTTTCTGAAGCTCTCCTGAAGCAGAGGCTGCGAGTTCAGCTCTGATCTCATCTAGGCTGTGATGGCTGAGATGGATCTGGCTGTAAATTAACAGGAAATGAAGGCTTGTACAAACGAACGTGAAGAATCTATAAATCACCTGACAATCCCTGCACAGGGCAGCTAAGTCTGCAAAGGACTCAGAGCACAGAGTGAGTTTGGACATGAAATGCTCTTCAGAAGCCAATGTTATTTTTTTGGAGTATTAATATTTCTGTGCTTTGGTTGCTCAACATATATCCAATCTGCCTGCCTGCCAGATCTCCCAGCCTGTCCCAGAAGACAGACTTTAAGAAGAGGAGAAAAGGACAGGAAAGAACTGTTTTGTTTGAGCCGTGTTCACAGTTTCCAGGTGACTTCTGTCCATTTGCCTCTTGCTTTTCATGTGTTGCAGCTGGCAAATGAGATGGATGCATTATTTCACACAGGAAAAAAACAGCCTCCTTTTTCTCCCTGTCTCCTTCAAACATGGGCTGACTCCAAATGTAAGTCTCAGCTCCAAACACCATCCCGGGCCAGTCCCAGCTGGGGAATGTCAGACAGTTCTCTGCAAAGCACTGCACCCCCTCAAAGCATTGCACTTCAAACAAAGCCAGCCCGGCTGACTTCTCCTATACACAGCATGTGATATGAAGGCAACATCATCCAAACCTTTTATTAGCTTGATTACATTTTATTTTTCATTCTTTTGCTAAGAGCTGAAATGTGATTTAACCCTTCCTGTTATTACTTCAGCTCTCCTGCCTTTGTTCCCTAGCTCATCCCAAGGGTGTTTTACAGGGGGGGGGAAAAAAAGACCAGTGATATTATGACTTTGCCTCTCCCCTTTACCACTGACTGGAAATGGGCTGGATTTATCCCAACTAGCTCCTTAGTTTACACTTGGTTGGCTTCAAAGGTGACAGATCAGATTTTAGTACCAATTGCTGAAACCAGGCGTTAAAGCACAAATAATCGGTGCTTGCACAAACAATTTGCCTCCAGGTGTCTTTTCCTCTCCCCACTCCTTAGGTATCACAGCCTGGAAACAGCTTTCCCTGCCTCACTTCAGCCAGAGTTACCTCAAGAGTATACAATGACAGGGCTTCAATGTGAGATTGTGCAATTAGAGCCTGGAGCAGGAGCCAAGTCTCTTAGTTTCTATTCCCAGCTCTGGCACCAACTCATCTGCCTTGGGCAAGTTCCTTAACCCCTCTCTACCTCTGGTTTACCAATGTGTACGCAAAAGGACGACCCGGCTCGGATGAAGCAGGACTGTCTTTGCTGAGGACTGAGAGTTTGGAGTGAAAACAGCTCAAGTGAAAAAGAAATCATAGGAACTAAGGAGCCCATCCAAGTCCATTTGGGTTTGTTTATGAATATGGGAGGATCTGGCTAAAACAGTTGAACTTCCCAGTTCATACCCAACGTCATTCCCAGAGACACCTCATCTGCAGCTAACACAGGCCTTGAACTGTAACATCTCCCTGCCAAGCTAAGGTAACTCAGAGTCAGCCACAAATTACTTTCACACTCTGAGCTCTGCACATATGGCACATGTTCAGGAACTGCTTCGCTCTCGGGTCAGCACCAGCTACAGACAGAGAGAGGAGAGCTGAGGGGAGCCAACCTCCAGCCCCACAGCTTAACCTGCCTGCACCCCAGTTCAGCACCACGAGGTGCCACAGCCTCTTAGCCCTTGCACTCTGCACTGCTCCTGAACAGACCCTTCTGGATTACAGGAGATTTGGATTAACCTCAGGCAGCTCTTTGCTGAACCAAGCCCGTGAGGACCACGTTGAGAAGACAACACACTCTCTGCTCCCCCAGGGCTGCTGCGAGACAGAAAAACAAGCAGAAGGTTCCAGCGAAGCCAAAGTGTGTTTGGGTTTGCTCTGAGTGGGGAGGGAGCAGAAGGGGGTGGCAGAAAAAGAACAGGTGGCATGAAGTCAAAGGCTTGCAGCATTTCCAGGAATCTCAGCTTGTATTTTAGAGGTAAAATTACACTTTAATCCCGGTGGGTTTCCTTGTCCGAAGTGTCTTTGTGAATATTTATTTGACAAACAGGCTGTGAAACATTTTCCACTAGACCTAATAGGAGAAGAATTCACCTTCCTCTTTGCAGCGAGCCTGTCCTTTGGAGAACACTAATCAGTTTAATTTAGACGGTGGCTTCAAGCTCCTCGTGTGAAATCGATGCAGAGAGCAGCACAAACACACTCCTTTGTTGTTTGAGCCACATTCACTCCCCCCAGCAGTTGCCCATTCGAAAGCTGACAGCGGAAAATCAAAGCAAGCAGACCCTCAGATGGGAATGTACCAGGGGCTTTGCTGGGCCTGATTTAAATACAATCAGCACAAAACCTCCTGGTTTAGACAAGCTTGAGTTAAGGCTGCCTGAGCTGCTGGGAGTCTGCAGCGCAAATGTTCGGTGTGAAGAGAGGCTAAAGGCAGGGACAAGTCACATGCTTGGCCTTCATGTAGTGTCAGCTTACAGATCTGGCTGGGCTCACCAGAAAAAGAAGAAAGCTGTAATACAGCAAACCTATTAAACCAGCACCTGTTATAGGCATCAAAAATAAAACCTAGCTTCAAAAGAGAGGCTCTGCACCTCGGGTAGGGTTCTATTAATATGCTACCACACTCTCAGAATTAGCATACGGAGGAGATCACAAGACTAGAAAGAGAGAGATTAAAAAAGTTCAGGGTTTGGCTAATATTTCCATACTGAGAAGGTATTGAAGAAACTAAATGCTGGAGCCAGAAAGAATTATTGGGGTTTGCTACTGCAGGACAGGCAAGGTTTGGTGTCAGAGCCAGGCCATGGAAAGAGAGAGATCAAAGGCACCG